TGCAAAAATTAATAAGCCCTGAGCAATGCTTAAAGTTAAAAACCTAAATTCAACTTCTAGGCCTTTCTGTGTACTTTTCTGCAAGACATGAATCGATGAATATTTCTTATCATTAAAATAATTTTATTAATTTGCGAATTTTGTAATTCTCATCTCTTACCATCCTTTCTGTTCATCTCCCTTCATCCGTTTTTAATATACCTTCTAATTAGCCTTCGTAATCTTTTTGTGCATGTAAGATTCTGTACCCAAAAAAGGAAGGGACCATCTTCGCGGCCTTTCATGCGACCGACTGTAAACCATTTGCATGTCACTGGTTGGAAATTTTACTCAGTGTGCTTTTCCAAATTTTCTGGTACAAGCATTTTCCAGGTACCGTATCCATCCTCGTCGAGGTTTCGTGGTAGCCCGTGCTTCTTTTTTAAGCGTTTCCCACCTTATCCTTAAAAAAGCTGTGCTTGTACCACTGTGTTGCATTTCAGCTCAATGAATCAGTTAGAAGCGTACAAAATGTGACGCAGCATGAAAGAATCATGGTTTTGGTGACGTAACGCTGCTGCTTCAAAAACTTATCAAGTTGTTGCGAATCGCCACCACTCGCTGCTGCAACCCTTTTATGGTACCTGGAAAATATAGAAATTACTGGTAATCGACGAGGGAACTTTGCATTTTTTGTGAAATTGATGAAGTTAATGATGCCTTAGTATGGTAGATTTATCGTCCTTTAAAGTCAATTTTCTTTTTTTTCAAAACTGTATCATATCAACAATTTTTTTTTTGCTAAGATTTTCGTTGTTTCCCACTGACAATATTAAGATCAGTCAAAATAAGAGAATTTCCTAGCTTTTTTTCTGGCCGAAATTGACCAATTCCTAATGAAATTCTCTAAGCGAAACGCTAAAATTGGCAAAAAAACTCGAATTCTTTTTAAATTAAAGCAAAAAAGAAAACCTCTCTTTGGAAGCAATATTCAGTAAGGTGCAAAAAAAATTCAGGATAAATGAGGGAAAATGCACAAAAAATGGTACAAAAACGTACTAAATGAACAATTGACTGCAGTTATGACAGGTTGTGTTTGCTAGTCAAATTGCCAGTGTTACCTGCTCATGCTGAAAATGACCACAAGAATAGCAATTATACTCAACGTTGTATAGAGTGTACGGCACAACAATATGATCATGTAGCAGCGCACATCAAAGATATTTGTCATCCTGCGAATGTAGAGAACTGCATTACTCTTAGCGACTTTTTTACAGGAAATTACTGTCTTCAAGACTGTTATAGTAATTTTTTTGATCCTTTATCCGTGGCTATTATTGCTAATGCTACTGCAATTTTTCCACACGCCGGATGTGGCGTGAGATGCTTAAAACACGAATATTAAGTTGTTTGAATTTATTAACAATTTAATATTCGTATTTTAAATATTTCACTTCCGCGTTGTATCCGACGTGCGAGAGAATCCCAGTAGCATCAGCAACAGGAGAACCTCAGTCCTGTCGGTTTATCCATATTAATAGCAGGAAAATTATCATATGCTTTGACACTTTGATCCAGTTGCAACATATTCTCCTATTATACAGCTTGGAACACATCCAGCTGGT